AGAGAGAGAGAGAATTTTAACATTTATTTTTTTTTTCTTAGTTCTCGGCGGACACAACATCTTCGTTTGTATGTGGTGCTGAGGATTGAACACACTAGGCGAGCGCGCTACCGCTTGAGCCACATCCCCAGCCCCATATTATAATATTTCTTAAAGTAGATCTATTATGATATGTCTTTTTGGAGTTTTATATGTCTTGAATTTCCATCTCATTACTAAAATTTGGAAAATGTTCTAATATTTTATCATTGAAAATATTGTGCATATCTTTCTTTTGAATTTCAGAGCCTCTTGTACCCTAATGATTCTTAAATTTGGTCTCTAGATGTTATCCCAGATTTTTTTTTAATATTCTGGTCATGATCTTTTCTTTGTGGTCAGCTTTATTGTCAAGATTATGTGTTTTCTCTTCAAGGCCTGAAAAATCTATCTTCAAAGTGGTCTAATTTTTCTGTTGAATTTTTAATGTGGTTTATTGAGTCTTTCATTTTGGGGATTTCTGTTTGATTATTTTTTAGGATTTCTATCTCTTCATTGGAATGATTCACTTCCTATATTTTCTATTCTTACCTCTTCTTTTAGCCACAGATTATTTTGTGAACTTCTCTCTCTTAGAAACCCTGGTTTGGGTGACTATCCAAGTATTGATACTTTAACTCAATGTGTGGCCTTTGCTGATCTTAGTACCAGCACCACTTTGAGAGAAGTCACTGAACCCTACTTACCTCAATCACTTTAGAGCCAAAGCACACATTATATAACCTATGAAGATTAAAAAAAAAAAAAACTTGTTGATAGTGTTCTCCACAGTTCCTCTAATCCAGGTATAAACTTGAGGAAAGTTCTGGAACAAGTTGAAAAATTAGTTATGTCTAGTTGTTAAGTATAATAAAATTTCATTATATGAAGGCTGAAAGGGGGAAGAAGAAAGACTAGGCAAGAAAGAAAAGAGAGGGGAGGAAAGAAAAGATAGAAAATCATAATAAAAACAAAGATTAAAATAAATATTAAAAACAAAGGAGAAAGAGGTGGGTGGGGGTATTTCAGGTAGCAACAGATGGTAAGAAGAGGGAGAATAGTGAGCAAGAGAAGGAAGTATAAATTTGAACTAGGAAAATAAAGAAATAGAGAATGATTCCAATTAATGTTTTAAACCATAAGGAGAAATAGATTGAAATGGGTTGAAGGTACAATGTTGGCTATTAGGGTAACAATTATCAATCAAGATAAAGAGTTATATATATGCTCAAATTTGGCATTGGAGTTGTTTACAGTAAACCATGTCAAGGCAAAGAAAATTCTTGTTGAACCTTGGTGTGAATTTCATTAGGATTTCAGACATTTAGAAGATGTCCATCATTCTTTGACTTTGAATCCCTCCAATGGTTCTGGGGCACAGGAGCCACTCCCCTAGTTGCTATGGACATCTCACCAGTGTGTTCTGGTTTATCAGGGACTTGCTGCTGATTGCTCAGAGGGTATAGAGGGTATGATGCTATGTCTGTTGGTTGTTTCTATTGTGTGCAGGAGTTTGGGAGTCAGGACTCTAGGCTGTCCCTCTGATTGCTGTGGGTCACTGTGTATCCACACTCCTTTACAGGATCTTTTTCATGGTAAGGTAGAGCCTAGTGGCTCTCTGCAAGCACAGGCCCTGGGGTTGTGGATTCTCTGCAGGTGATCTGTGGTGCAGAAATATTCCCCCTGGCTAACACAGCTCACTGATGATGGATTCTTCTGTCTCAGCCACCTGTGCACTGCAGCCTCTGAAGAGGTGGCCTCCAACAAGACTGAAAAGCACCAGCTAGGTCTGTCTTGTGCTTTTGATGTAGCCAAGAGATGCAGTAAACTTGAGATGGTTGAGGCTGCTACCTGTGAAACATGGCATGCTGCTTTACAGCAAACTTCTTCTAAGTAGAAGGAGTATACGCTAAAATAATGTTAAAAAGTAGAGTATGGAAAATAGACAAACCAATAACATGGTTGTTTATTATCATATCAAGTATTATGTATAGCACATAATTGCATGGGCTATACTTTAGCATGACTGGGAATGCAGTAGGTATGTTTATACCAACAGCACCACAATACATAATACTTTATATGATAATGGATGAGTAAGTTACCAGTTTATGTATTTACTGTACTATACTTTTTTTATTATTGGTTGTTCACAACATTACAAAGCTCTTGACATATCATATTTCATACATTAGATTGAATGTACTATACTTTTTTATCATTGTTTTAGAATATATTCCTTCTACTTATAAAAAAAAATGACTGTAAAATAGTTCGTTGTGTTATACCAGCAGTAGCTCATCCATTTCTTGTTTACCATGTCTCTTGATTTCTTCAACAGGCCATTTTGAGTGATTGACCTATGCCAATCAGGTTTAAGTACACTTTGTGATGTTTATACAATGATGAAATCTCCTAATGACGCATTTCTCAAACCATATCCCCACCATGATTGTACATCTTAGGCTAGTTCCCTCCCCACAAAGTATTAAAACCATTGTTCAGGTCCCCATTTGAGTGGTTCTCAAAGGGGTTTGAGTAATTTTGTCTGATACCCCAAGGGCTCAGCCAGTCAGAGATCAGGGAAGCAAGAATATACCTGGGAAAAGAAATCCCTTGGAAATTTCCTTGCAGGCCTAGCTAGGTCATGGAAAAAAAAAAAGATGCATAGAACCAAAAATCAACTCCAAAGTTGGGGGTCTTGTATTCCTACAACCATGGCTAGGCTGTTCCCTAACCCCCCACTTTGCCTGCCCCCTCACCAGGTGATGCTCCCTAATTTCCTGGGTGAGCAAGTATCTCCCAAGACACTGGAAGACACAGTGGCTGAATTGGATGTGACCCTGCAGTTGCTCGAGGACAAATTCCTCCAGAACAAGGACTTTATTGTTGGACCCCACATCTCCCTGGCTGATCTGGTAGCCATCACTGAACTCATGCATGTGAGTGCCGTGGGTAGTGTGGGCCCACTAGATGGAGGTGCTGAAGTCCTATTTATGCTGTCCACACCTGGCTGTGAAATTATGCTTGTGCATGGAAACCCCTGCTGGAGTACTGGGGTCCACAGACCAGACAATGAGGTAGGTCCTCAGCTTTACGTCACTCTATTGTCTTCTTCTTACAGCCCATGGGTGCTGGCTGCCAGGTCTTCCAAAGCCGACCTAAGCTGGCTGCATGGCGCCAGCGAATAGAGGCTGCAGTGGGGAAGGACCTCTTCCAGGAAGCTCATGAGGTCATCCTGAAGGTCAAGAACACTCCCCCTGCAGACCCCACCATAAAGCAGAAGCTGATGCCTGGAGTGCTAGCCATGATCCAGTGAGCTTGGAGCCCCCCCACACACACCAGCACTGTGAACCCGTTCACAAAGCACCTTCATTTCCAGTGTGCTGTGGAAAGCAAGCCCAGAGAGCAAGTGTTACTTGCCCTGATCCCACTGCCAAGGCTCCATCACAGTCATCATAAGAACACAAACCCATACCTTTAATCACTGCATTTTATTTTTTAAGTTTAGAGAATAAACCTAGGTTCAGACTTATTTTGTTTCTAGCTCTGTATAATTTATTCCCTTCCTCTGTCCTTGATCCTGGTCTTGGTCTCTATCTGAAAGACAACCCCTTTTCCCAGTGAGGGTTGGCTTCCTCCTGATGGTTGCTATAAATGAAGTCACAAATGCCCCGTAGCCTTCTAGTTCCTGGGGAATGATTTGTCATACAGCCTAGGGGTCTGTAGGCATCTCATGTGTTATTTACAGGCATGTTTACTGATCTATCAATTGGACTGGCCAGTCTCCCAGGACATGGCCCTTTGGCATGTAGTATTGTTAATCACCAGTCCTGCATCTGTCCTGAGGAATTGGTCAGGAGGAGAAAATTCATGAGTTCAGGCCTTCAGGGGCTTAAATGCAATGCTTAGGCACTTAGCTACAAACTGTAAACAGGAACAAAAGTCTCAGATTGCATTTTAGAATAATATTCTGGTTGCCAGTGGGATTTGGATTGGAGGACAGCCAAGGAGGAAGCAGGGAGATTGGATGTTGCAATAATTAGGGCCAAAGGTGATTTGTGAAGAATTGGCAAGCAGTGAGAGGCAGAGAAGAGTGGAGAACTGGCTCCTTTCAGTTTGGAGAGGGCTGCAGCACTAATATCTTAAGAAGACTTTCCTGGTTCCTGACGGGGGTGGGGGGGT